AGCACCTGCAGATTGTTTTTTTTAAATCACCATCATTGAAAGGGGATGAAAGTTAAATCTTATCATTCATATTGCCTTTTTATAAGTGAAAGAAAGAAACTAAATTACTAGAATAGTAAATTTAATATAAATATAAAAAATATAATTCATGGTGAATGTATTAAAAACTAAAATTTAGAATGTGACGAATTGAATAAAATTTAACACAATATTAACGACACAACACATTGTCAATATACTTTGTGCGTACATTATCTCTGCTTACAAATCTATTGTAGTTTTTATTCTATCTAGTATGATTATTGAGTATCATCATTAATATTATTCATACGATATTTCTAATTCTTTCCGAAATGTGAAATGTCTTGCAAACTTTAAGCGTCTTAAAAAATTTAATTCTACAGCACAAATTCATTTACATAATTTTTTTCTTCAATGGTTATACAATTAATTGTTCTATTAAAATACTCGTACTTGACGCTATATTTCGTATTCTTTAAATTTGATATTTTAAAAAGAGAAAGTTAAAAAGACACTTCAGCAAGACACACATTATTTTCACCTTTACAAATATAAGGGTTGTTTTCGTTTCTCATTACTTGCAATACGCATAATTCATTCAAAAAATGATTTTTTTTAATATACATAAATATATATAAGTAATTGAATCATTTATTTAAAAACAGTTATGCCTAAAAATGACAAAACATAGCACCTGCCAATATATATCGACTAAAGCCATTAATGCTTTATTAATCCGCTCAATACTAGAGGTCAAGTAATCCCTGGTGGAATTTATGAGGATTTAATAACTTCATAATTTGGATACTGCTGACCAGTGAAATAAATATGTACATATTATGACAGGACTGTGAGAAACATTGTCAAGCGCTGACCCCGGGGCTCACACATGTCCCATTCTCTAATTAATGACTGAATTCATGTTTTTGCGGTTGTCAGAAGCATACAGTTAAGACGCATGTACACTCTTTTGAACAAGAATATTATATGATTGTAATGTCAAAGTGAGTTGACCTTCAACATCACGCTTCTTGTATTTTTTACTTATATCTGTGAGCTCCTTGTTGTACCTAAATGGGGTCTGTGGTGTGTTTACTTAAAAAAAAATAAGTATTTAACCTATAATTGCAATTCATTTTAAAGTTTACAGGCTTCTGTGTACGTATTATACATTTTAAATCTATTGTGACGTTGGATCCAACTTACTTGCAAATGATTGTTTTGGTTGAGAAGGTTTCTTTAAACTATTTGTTCATTCACTGGAACCAGATCGATTGAGGCATTGTTAAAGAATTTGAAGACCACCAGTATGTTTTCTCAACAAGTTAAGGATTTATAAAAGTGAAATTAACAAGAATAAAACTACATAACAGTCAAGTCATGTAGCAGATGCATTAGTACAACTGTCCCAACAGGGATATGAATATTGCCTGCATCTGTAGGATCGCAGCCTGTGAAGTTTGAACCATGTCAGACTATGTTAGATTTCGTCAATTTGACCGACAACAAGGCCTAGGATTTCACATTTTGGTCACACATTACTTATCTATGTAGGTTGTTTAGGTGCTAGATAGGCAATCAAGATGATCTGTAATGTGAAAATATTGTGTTCTATGTGCTCTGGGATATATATTCTATGTTAAATATTTTGACTTATTTTGGAATGGAATTTGAACGGTATGCTAAAGGTAAGTGTATAAACAATGAGAATTTTTAACATTTCATCACAGAGAGTAACAAGATAATCGATTGTCTCCCCTGCTTTTATTATAATTTAGGAGAAAATGGGGTGGGGGGCTTTAACTCTTTGTTTTAAGTTTTTTTTTATGGAACACATACTGGAAAAATTGTGTGATGGGTTTAACAATGTAACAATGATATAGAAGGATTGAGGCGAAGAAAGGTCTTATATAGATTAAGATAAATATTAAGAACAATATTGAGAGTACAGTTTAAACCATGTCAAAATACAATTAATTTTTTTATGACCACTGTGTTTTTTCATGAGTACCGTGGTTTCTACCATTTGCTGTTTGATTCAAATTCCTTCCCCGAAGGTAAAACCCATCTAAATGTCAGGAAACGGATTGTATATCATAAAATCAAATCCTACAAAAGAAACCTGCCAAAATGGTGTTCAGTATCATAATTCTGTGCATTCTTAAAAGCTTTACTAATTTTGCTAACTAATGTCAATAAAAAAGGAACAATTGAAATTCCCATATAGGTACTGATTATTGATTCCCCATTCTCAATGCTATATTTGTTTTTCACTTAAAATACCGTCTAGATCATTGATTACTGGGATTAAGTGTCTTACATAATAAGACGCAAGCTGCATGTATATGCACCGTGTTTGTTTATATAACAATATATATAATAATATTAATATTAAAAGATATCATCATAAAGGAAGTTTGGTGCATCTTGGAATCTTTGAATCGGCTTTACGTCAAGCCATTCTTCAAAATGTCTGAACTTAAAATGAAGAAATTTCTTCGTTTCTAAGAGGTAATAGACGAATTGCTTTTGTAAAGAATAGTAAAAAGAAGAATGAAGAATTAAAATTTAATACTCACTGTTTTATTCATCAAAGTAATATTGCATATACCTACAATGCTTCTACAATATTTTAACAATACAAAGTACATACAACATTATAAATTTAAATGTTTTTATACCAAAATGATTGACTTGAAATCCACTGTTAATTTGTTTTTCTATAGATACATGAGGACCAAAGGCATCAATAAACACTTTTTTTTCTAAATTGACGCCCGTCGTTTAAATCAACTGTGTTTAATGATCAAATTATTATCTATCACATTAAAGAAGCATAATGGTAAAAGATTAATTGTACTCTACTGAAGCTTTAGAATTTCAGTCTTTGTTCTCAAGTAGAGTTCATACATAAGAAATGAATAAAGAGATATCGTGTAATGTGGAAGTGGATAGCATAGCATACAATGATCAGTTTCTCCCATATACATACATATACAGTCGGAATAAATACTTTAAATAGAAATATCTTCTTTTTTCAAATAAATAGTTTGGTCAAATAAGGTTATAGTTAATTTAATTCAAAAATGTACATGCAGATGTTATGCTGAAGGTTTCAGTTAATCTTGTTGTTTTCTTCCATAATTTTTTCTTAAACAGTAGGTCAGATTTTAAGCTTGGATTAAGAGCGTTACCTCTTTACATTGTGTACAGTGTAATTACCATTGATTCATAAAGTGTTGGTCAAGGTCAGAAATAGTTATATAAAAAAGACCCTCCAACGAATATAAGTATTAACATTTTATCAAAATTCCTTATTACTTTGAATACTTAGAAAGCAATTGTATACATTTAAAAAAATGAGGGAGGGGTCCTTACATTTGTATTAAACTACAGTACATCTATCAAACATCTGCTCTCATTTAAGAGAAACTTTTGTAAATTGAGTTTCGAAAAGAATGCACCATTTAAGAATTAGTGAAGATTTAATGGCATCGTTTGAAAACTAACCTGAATCTACACTACCTCAGGATGCTTCCATATTTATATGACCAATCATGGCTTTGCTGTTCTTGAGAAAAAGATTTTTAAAGACTTTCCCTATCTATTCCTAAGTAAGATTTTTATCCCCTGTTGTGGCCTCTTGTCTGAATATGCAACTCTATGCAACATTTTACAAAAGATATTGTTTACAAATCAGTTTAAGAGAAAAAGACAATTGTATACAACTACAAGTGTGAATATTTAATCATTTATTAGAATTTATTAATTTTTCAACAAAAAATAATTTTAAAAATATCGGACCAATATGTCAGTTGTTTTAAGAGACAACGGCGTTATTAAAATGCAAGCCCAATATTTATTTTTATTTGTCTATAACATATTCATTGCACCAACAGATATATTCTTATTTTTTCCCTTATTCATTGGTAATGCATGACCATCTTCGCAAGAAATACTTTTCAATTTGATTTTTATTTCATGCCTCGAAACTTGATTTTCTATTTTCGTGACATAAAAAATTACCAAAAATTACCAAAAATGCATTATTAAACCAGTTAACATGTTTATTTCAAATTTCTCAAAATCAGTAGACTTTTCTCACATGAAAATGGTTCAGCCTCCAATAGGAATCTCTATTTCATGCCTCAAAACTCATGTTAAATTTTTGGTGAAAGAGGATAGAAAATGCAGACCGAAACATGTTCAAAATCTATGACAGGACGGACTGAAGAAAAAAAGGGAATATTAATTAACAAAGTTTCACAATATACTAGTGAGGCTATTCCAAGTAGTTTTAAAACAAGATTGAAGACCGTTAAAGTCTTCACTCTCAGCCATTAAGAATCCTCTATAGACTCGATGAAAGATAATAGTATTCCTACTATCCAGAAGTAAGATATTACTCTGGTGTAGAGTAATTATCATAAGAATTATCTTGGCAATTCTGTTTGACTGTCATAAATGAGGGACTTGAAAGTAATAAAATGTTAACAGACTCAACTTAATAGTGACAAAATGTTAATTATGTTGATTTTTGATGGTAATTAATACACTTACTTGGTACTGTTATAACTATGTATGCCTGTCACAATAGATGACAACATCCCACACTTTCTACTATCTTCGCATATAAATTATCTTCTACTAGCCTGTATGTACCGATTTGGGTTCACTATATAATTATATTAACATCAACCAAATCATACATACAGCATTCTGAAAGACAAAAATGGTCTTCATTAAAATATAGACCCACGTTATCAACTGGTTTAAACAGGTGTGCAATTTCACTAAAGAAGGAAAAGTGAGCTATTGGTTCAAATGAACTGAAGTATTGGTCTTATTCGGAGAATTAAATTTACTTGAAATCAATCAAAATTAATCTTGCTTTCCATCAATTTTTATTTTATAATAAATATATTAAAAGAATATTTTTTTTTCAGGCTATTCTATATCTTTGGCCATTTCCTTTTCAGTACTTTACCTGACAGTAGTGCTAATTACATGTGACGTAATCGGAAAACGCAGGGGTCAGAATCCTCCAAACCCTGATGCCCCACGGTTGCTGGCCTTTTCCGTGGACCCACCGGTCAACCACACTCCTAAACTAGTCGTCGTCCCCGTGGATACTAAAACTGACTTACGGCTAGGATGTAGGAAGAAAAATATAAATGAACCCATTCAGGTATTTATGACGTAGTGATAATTGTGAATCATAAGCTTTAAGTTTTACATAGAGTTTTTTTATACCAAAAATGCCTATTAGAAACTGGTATATTATCCCAACCATGAGATATCAAATGTCTTTTTACTAACACGATTTGAATTTGACACAATTAAGGTATTCTGGGAAAAAATTGGCCCAAGGGGAGTAGAACAGATCACCAGCATGATCACCCCTTATCCCGAGGATAGTGAAAAATATGAAGTTTCCACGGGCTCCTCAATTAGTGATGACGTCACTGACCTGTTTTACCTCACAGTTAATAACATTGATTATCATGATATGGGGAAGTATGTTTGTCAGACTTACTACAAGTACAGAAGAATAGGTGGGGAAGTCGTGGTTTATGTTAGAGGTAAATAATGTTTATATTAATGTACATAAGATAACAGTAGAATATGAATGAATATTATTTGTATGTATCCTTGAACATCATCTGATTCAAAATCCCAGTTTTCATTATAATGAACATTTCAAACAGTATTGGTTTTAAGAATAGGAATTCACATGTGTTGCCTTAAACAAATTTGTATATACTGAGGTAAATGTTTCTGGAATCTTAATAAACTGCTTTTTCCATCCTACCTTTCCTCTTCTAAGGTCCCCCAAAAGTAGGTCTTTTTGAGTCCATGATCTCTGGAATGCTGAATTGGGACCTTAAATTAGTGTGCCCTTTCCACTCCAAGGACGACATTGATGTCAGCAATACTCTTTGGTATAAAGGAGACCAACCACTCCATAATGGCACAAACGACAGGTAAAAAAACTGTCGACTACATATATAAAAGATGTAGATGCATAATTGATGTACGGAAATTACACATTAACCGAAAATATTTTGTATTTATGATTGATGTTCTTGCCTTAAAAAAGGTTCTTGAAGTTGGGGCTAAAAAATTATTGGGGAAAAACATCCAGCTAGTAAATAGGGTATCATATAAATGTGTCTTTTATAAAAATTATATGACCATTATTTTCCACTGAATTGTCAACTCATTTTTCCGTTTACCCGATCACGACAAGGAGCACACGGCGGGTGTGACCGGTCGAAAGGGATGTTTACTCCTCTATGGCACCTGATCCCACCTATGTTTTCAGAGGTCGTGTTGGCACTGTTCAAAATTTAAATTGTTTAAATAGACTTTAGAGCATGATGCCTGTTTGTTATCTTCACATTTCATTGTTTAAATGTTAGTATATGTAGTATATGAAATATATATATATATATATATATATATATATATATATATATATATATATATATGACTTATGGCTTTAGGAGACCAAGGAGGATATATTTTCTGGCTTAGGGAGACCACTGGATTAAGGCGACCTTTTTCGGTCTCCCTATTATTTTGACCTCATCAGTATTGCAAATGTCTTTTTATAGATAAATAAACAGTCTGTCATTAAATATTATTAATCTTTAACTCTGTTATTTAACATTCAAAAGTTGTCTAATTTCTATCATCTTCCCTAAAAAAGAAAAGAATTTATAACCTACGTATAATTTCAAAGGATAATTTTTCTGCATTTTGGAGACCATGAAAAACATGCAATTAAACAAAAAATCTAGCATATATATTTTTTCCGCTTTTGATTTGTTCAAATGAGTGTTTCTTTAACTTAGTTTTCCATGTTTTATGTTAAAAACCTAAAAAGGAAAAATATTGTAATTTATGAACCATGTTTTGAATTCTTAGCAAGTGCTTTCCGTCATTTGTTCCGAATGCCATCGGAATGCCCCTTCAGTTTTCAGAAAATGACCCCTGAACACCATGGATGTTGAGAAATTTGGGTAAGTAACTAAAATGATACAGTAATAAGTTGTAATTAAGAATACACAAGACAAACATTCGTTTGTTTTTTGTTTTTGTTTTTTTGCCTAGTAATTTAGCTTCCAAGAGAAAAAGTATGATTTTAAATAATCGTTAGACTATAGTTCGGTATATAAAATCCTGAAGGAAATTCGAAATAAAGTTAAATGATAGGCCCCTATATTTTTTAATTCTTTTATGCAAGTCCACAAACAAATTAAATATTTTAAAGATTAGGCCGAACGTTGAAAAAATAGTCTCCCAAGTTGACGCAGCTGTTTCTAGCTTAAAAATTTAAATTAAACTTAATTTCTGTAAACATCATGCAGGACATGATCATCATGATATAGTATAAATGAAACAGACCCTGTAAGAAAAAAATAGCTGTAATTTAATAATTGTTTATTAATATAATGTGGTCCTCTGCTAATAGAATATATATGCTGGCTATAAAAAAAATCTGAATCAGGGTGAAGCAGATTTGATACAATACATGGCTGAAGGAACGGGGGGGGGGGGGGGGCAGGCCCCCTGTAATTTTGCTGAAATTTAGGTATACTATAGAAAACATTGCTCCTTTATGCTCGGGCCCCCTCAATAATAACCTCTGATGATCTATTTTTCTTTTGCTTTTGGGCCCCCTCAATAATAACCTCTGATAATGTATTTTTCTTTTACTCATTAAAATTTTTTTGGTTTGTAGCCTCCCCCAACCTGAAACTGAAAAATGTTGTTTGGTTGTGCTCAACCCCCCCCCCCCCCTCCAACTAAATTAAGTACGGGCCTATTCTCCATCCCTGAGGTTTTCTTTCACCAAAGAAAGATTAATTGGTAACAGTTCAGATATATATAGCAATATTTACGGAAGGGAATATTCTCGTTTAATTATGAAGATGTGACAGTAACTCAGTCAAAGCCACAGTGAGTGTAACATTTATTTAATATTATTGTTAATGTTTACAAATAGTGAAATACTGATACTGTGAAATTTTATGGATATATAGAAAATATAAAAGTACAACCATTTATTGTAAATCACATACATGAAAAGCTTCTTTTTTTTCAAGCAATTGGAAATTCTTCATTTTTTCATGAAATTATTTTATTTCGTATGTATGATAATTTATTTCGTATTTTAATTCAGTCAACAAATCATTGCCGCAGCCTAGTTCCCTTCATTATTTTCAGCACTTCAGTGACAGAGATAAAATGATCATTTGAGGTTTATACCCCCCCCCCCTCCCCACCAAATGAAACTGAAAAATGTTGGTTTTGGTCCCCTTCAACTGAAATTGATTCCTTCTTACCATGCTTACAGGCTTAACTATGAAGATGTGACAGGGAGTGTAATAACAATAATTGTTCAGACGAACACATATTAAGCTGATATACGTATCAAATTTTAATGGATAGATAGAAATTAATAAACAATTACAACCATTTATTATAAACTACATAAAGATAATTTTTCAAGCAATTTGAAATTCTTCATTTTTTATGATAATATTTTATTTCGTATATATGTTTATAGGTTTATTCGTATCAACAAATCTGTGTACGAGTTAATAACGCAGCCTGGTTCCCTGCATTTTCAGTGACAGAGAACCAGAATAAGATTTGTAGGAAAACAAGCCTTGTTACAAGGTTTGAGGTTTGTTTATTTTATATTTTAATTTACACTTTTTAAAAAATTATTATTATTATGCAAAAATCTGTGTGCAGATGAATATTTACATTTTAATGTTACAAGTCGTTTTGTGGTTCATATTTGCGGTGACTGTCCCACGTGTGTTTACCTGTTTCCATTCACCTACTGACCTGGAGTCTTCAAAATATACCTTCTGTAATCATGACTGTTGTAATCTTGTTTTTATGTTAGTTTACCGTATGTAACTTGACTGTTGTATAGATTTATAGCGATCACTGCAAGCTTTTAATATTTAGGTGAAGAGAAATTTCAGACTATCAATCACAGGCACTTGTTTCATATACGGTGCACCCCTACTTATTCTTACCACAAGGTATCTAACTCAATTTCAGGCACCCCCGCTTCAAGCTCGTATTTTGTTCATGTATCATTATCAATCATTAACCTACTTTAAAATGACATCGTTCGCTTCAAGAGACTTTTTTCTTGTCAAATAAATCGTTTCAGATGTCTCTGGTCGAGTCTCTTTATTGTAAAACACTCATTTATTCCACGAAAATTACCTCGATACATTTTAAGACTTTAGATGGGATACAACTTCCAGTTGGGGATAGAATAAAACCAGAGACTTCCGAGTATTCCATTCCGAGGTCTCTGGTTTTATCCTTCATTTATAACCCCAACCGCAAATTTGTATCGAAAATTACCTTGATACATTTTAAGACTTTAGATGGGATACAAATTTCATTTTTTTCACAGGTCACGAGGTTTCAACTTAAAAAATAAAAATTCTCACCGTTAAGATATGTTGGAAATTTTAGCTTGATGTGTTGATTATTTGCCAAATTATTATGTAATAAAGGGGACTTTATATGATCACCCGGCGCTGTCGCTTTAGTTCAGTCTTCACAACAATTCTTTTTCAGCACATGCCCTTTGGGCATGTAGACCTATCATTTTTACCCAGCCCATTCAAATTTGTACATGTCCTACTCAAAATTCTTACATTTACCAGTATTGTGCAACAAAAAAAAACCATTAGGTATAAAGGTTTTATATTAATTTTTTCAGCATCTTAAACCAACCATGGCCTGTGATTGCCATTTTCTGAAGCGTTTTTGTTCATAAATAACTTTTGAGTTGCATGCTGGTCATTTGTTGGCCGGTTTAGCTGAACTGAATTTCAGAAATGGGATCATGACTGTAGTGCCACAGTATGTGGCATTGATGAACATCTCGTAATTTAGCAAGCAACTTCGAGAAAACAAATAGGTTAAACTAAACACTTCAATGATTAGATTGACAATCATTTGACAGGTCGTATCGAGAATGTAGACCGGCAATCCATCGACATTACATATAGCAACGTTTAAGCGAATAATGGGGGAAGGACAGAATAAATGGCAAGTAAAGATCGTACAATGAAAGAAGATTCACATATGCCCTCTTCGGACATGTAATTTGGCAATTTTTACATGCCCTGCTGCAAATTTAACAGGTCCCTGGCATTGGACTCCCGGGTTATTTGGAAGACTGTTTGTTTAGTTTCATGAGGTCCGACAACATTGATTCTCAATGTCTGCTCCCTCTACCCCATACACTTATCTTGATAAAATTATATATAAATTATATTATTAATTATATAAATTGATATAAATTATATAAACCGGTCTTGTTTATATAATTTTACAATGTCATAAACAGCTGCTTAAGTGCATATAATATTGTAAATGGATTTATATATAGGATTAGGGAAAGATCCTCACTTGATTATGGCAGCATATTTAGCTCGTAGGAGTTTATTATCTACCACACATGATCAATGTCACTTTTGGACGTGAATGACTTTTGACACCCTAACTTCAGTTCAAATCAACATTAACTTTATGTGACATCTCTCTGAATCTTTTTTGGCATGTAACTTGGGTAAAAACAATTAAGTACTCTTGATGCATTTGATTTCTCTTAGCCCGTTTAAACATTTCCAAGGTCTATACCAGTTTTTGCAGGGGCGAAACTATGTAGAAGTTGGAAAAGAAACCCATCCCCTTTTTGACGTATTTGGTTTTCGAGGGGTGAAAATTTTCAATATTACACTCAACTACATGCAATATTTATTATATTATACTGAATGTTTTATACAAATAATAGTGAACCTTGAGTGCATAAATCTGCGCAGTCACTATTTTTTGGAATATCACCCGTCGTCAAGCAATGTTGACTGTTGCGACACTGGGCGTGGCTTCATTATTCAGCGGATAATAGTGCTTTTTAACAAATGTTTCTTGACAAATCA